TTAATCATGTAACAATTCATTTTACTATATTAATAAAGATCGTGAGAAATGCCTCACTTAACATTAAAAAAAAAATTTAATAATAATAAATTATCCCTCTGATAGAAGCACAAAACGGTTGTGCGAGTGTTAATTAAAGATTACTAAAAGTGGTGATGTGATAGACGCACTTAAAAAGAAAGTTGGTAATTAATCCCCTTCTAGAGTAATGTCGCTACAAAAGGATTGTTCTGGTAGTTACTAATAGGAATAGTGACTCGAACAATTGACAAAAAGGGACAAAGGAAAGAAGAAAGTTAATTATAGGTTCAAGATTGACTAAGTCAAATCTACATTTCAAGTAAAAAAAAGAAGAATAACCTATCCTGATGTTATGCGAGTTTGAACTGCCCCAAGCGACAGACTCGCTGTTTCAATGTCAACAATATAAACCATTTATATAAAAATATCAAAGGAGTAATAATGCATCAAATCTTATAATAATCATCAAATTGTGAAATGTAATAGTGAATCAGTTATTAAAGAAAACAAAATTCATATAACTGTAAATAGAATAAGTAATAATTAAAAATATTAAGTATGTTAAGTCTTTATTTTATAAGTTCTTTTTTACAATCATCATTTTTTTTCTTTTATATTAGATAATTGTGCACTGTTAATCAAGAATAGATTTCTTATAGTATCTTTTGCAACTATTGATTATATAATATGTATTATATTTTAACTTATTCTCTTATAACAAGCAATATATTTGCAAGTCAGTTGGTTTAGTAAGAGATTAGAAATGAAAAATAGATATAAGTATAGTTTCAAAAATTGGAATTAAACAAAATTGCAAGGAATTGCATAAGATTCAAAACATTATTAAAAATAATAGTAGAGTATATCTTACCTATTAAATTTAATATAAACTTGAGAATTGAATACAGAATTGAAGAGAATTGTTAGGATTCTTAGGTATGAGTAAGTCATGGGTAGAATTTTATTTTTATATACTAATACATTTTATAGATACTATTGATTTAATAGGATATTAGAGATAGAAAGAGTTTTTTTTTATATATTAATAGATTTTGTAAATATAATTTGATGAAAGATTAGAGATAAAGTGTAAATACAATAGGATTTTTATCTTTATATATTAACAGATTTTGTAAATATGATTTAGTAAAAGATTTAGAATAAAATATAGATACTGATAGGTTGTGGGTAAGATTTTTATTTTTATATACCAACAGATTTTGTAGTATGGTTTGATGGAAGGTTAGAAATGAAGAATAGATACAGGTAGGTTGGGTAAGAATTAATTTGTAGATATAAATTTATTTATAACAATATTTTCTAATTTTTATTTTGAAAAATATAATAATAAATAAATTGAAAATTAGATTTCAACTTTGAAATAATTAAATTTGAATTTCTACCAATTATTAGTTCTTATGCCAAAGCTGTTTCAAAGCCTGATATAATTAATTTAAATAAATAGTAGTTATATTTATTATTAATTTGTTTTTAAACATTATTTTTTTATAGTGACTTTTAGTTAATCAACACTGTGACCTTTACAATATTTTTATACTAGCAGGATTAGCTACTTTCAAGTTACATCTTGAATTTAACCCATTGCCTATTAAAGTTGACAATTGATACAATTAAATTTCATATTGTATAATTTTTCGAAATAAATAAAAATTATTTGTAATGCATTTACTCACTATAAGTTTACAATCATTTCATATGAATTTATAAAATAAATGATGAAATTGTCAAACTCAAATTACTATCTAAAAACCAAATACAGTATACAGTATAGAATTATAATATACACATATATATTTTTCTTTAATATATTAAAAATTAAAAAAGAGATTACAATTTAAACCTTCGATATATATATACTGTACTGTATTTTACAATATAGATTAATAAAACTATAATACAATATACGTAATTATTTTATTAATAAAAAAATGTTTAAATAAAATTGGTAATTTGCAAGGCCGACGTATTACCATGTATGGAAGTAAATCATGCGAACAATTGAAATATAGTAGTAAACCATCACATTATCTTATTTCAAAATGATCACATGAGGAAATACGCGATGCATAAAAATAATTCATGAAATTTCTGTCGACTAAAATGTCTTCATCACTTGAAAATGTTCAGCAACTTATTAATTCAATCCAGCATCGTGCTCGGATTCGTGACATCGAAACCACTCGGAAAAAATTATTAAAAATCACGAAAGATGGACTTGTAAACTTACATTTAGTTTGTGGTAGGTGAATTTTAATCGTTATATTTAACTTCCGATTTTTTAACCAAGATGTTTTTTCCAGATTTTGATTTCACAATGACACGATATTTTACTTCGACGGGAGAACGTAATAAAAGTTCGCATGGGATAGTGGAAACAAGTTCTCGCTTGGCCGAAGAAGTATAGAATATAATGTTGCAGAATTATATGTAATTGTTTGTGCGAAATATTTATTCTTTTTTGTTAAATTAAGTACAAAAGAGAAGTCAAGGCACTATTTGCTCATTACCATCCGATCGAAATAAGCACTGAAAAGACTAAAGAAGAAAAAACCCCGGAAATGATTGAATGGTGGCGAAAAACCCACAAATTGTTAATGGAGCAAAACGTTAAGGAAGAAGATATTAAAGAAATAGTAGCAGAATCAAATGTGGAAATAAGACCAGGATTGAATACGCTGATCGAAAAATGCAAGGTTGACAATATTCCATTCTTGATATTCTCAGCCGGGATTTCCGGTAAACTATTATTATTTTCTTTCATGTATGAGATCAAAAATAACTGTCGAGGGCTCACTTATCTATTTAATGAAGATGTAATCAAACAGGTCCTTATCATGAAAAAAACCTTTTTTATCCTATGAACATGCACATCGTCTCCAATGAGATGGGATTTAACGAAAAAACGGGGATATGTGATTACTTCAAGGAACCTTTAATTCATACATTCAACAAAAATGAAATAATGATTAAAGGTAGCCCTTATTTTACTTCCATTGAAAATCGCGGTAATGTCATTCTACTAGGTGACTCTTTAAGTGACGTGCAAATGGCCAGCGGGATTAGTCACGAAACTTGTCTTTCTATCGGTTTTTTGAATTATGAAGTTGATAAATTACTTAATATGTATCTGCAAACATATGACATCGTGGTTGTTGGTGATGGACCAATGGACGTCGTAAACTTTATAGTTAATACTATTTCTTAGGGTGATTTATGATTATTTGTTTCTTAATAAATAATTCAATAATATTTGTTAGATTATCGATCTTGAAGTTTAGGAGTTTTAATTTGCTTGATGATATTTAGTGTGCGAATGAAAAATGAATAAATAATAATTAAATTTTTATTATTGTTGTTATAATATAAATCAGAATATTACTCTAATATTTTCTTTAAAAATTTGCATGGCTATTATTAGGATTATTCACTTTTTAGGTGATCAGACGCAGAACTCGCACTTACTGTATCTTGATTTCCGAATGGACAGAAACAAGAGATGTAACTTTCTTAGTGTGGATGTTTCTTTGAGTTAGATGAATTTGTGATTGATAATCCAGCCGAAACGCTTACAATGCCCAGTGCATTGTAAGTTTATCTGTTTTATTAGATGCGTGTACTTATCTGTTCGATTTCCTTGACATTGTCATTTGTGACGCTTTCTGAACTCTAGCTTTAATTTCAGCGCTTTCAATAGTCACTTACATTTTCATCTGTTAATAATAGTTTAAAATTTATAAATCTCAAATTGTGGAAAACCAATAAATTCTTTATTGATTTTTGCGCATAGTAATCTGGTAGCGTGCGTGTGTTAATTGTTAAAAGTTAAGTCTATTTATATGGAAGGGAAGTGTAAGCTATAGTGAACCTAAAGTAATAGAAACTGTCAAAAAGAAGTCAGATCATAATACAATTGCAATGATTGCCATATGATCAGGTTGTGTAAGAATTGATTATGGCACTATGGAATCAATTAATAAAACTATGTAATAAAAGTGGCATGAAAATTAAATAATTATTACTTTGTTATAAGAATTTTTTATAGTTTTACTAGATTTGTATTTGTCATTTTTATTATGTAATAGGTGTGAAAAAATGTATAAAAGGAGAAAGAAATTAAATAAAAAAAGTTAAGTTTTTCAGTTAACATTAAATTTGTCTTACTTCTAATAAAATATGATTTTTACCTAATCAATATTATGCAAATCCTAGCTTTCCTTAGTAACAGACTTGTTAATCACAGTTATAATATTAATGCAGAATATACAAAAATCATTATAGTCTTGTAGTATTTAAAGAAATATTCTCGTTAATTCAAATTTATTGATTTTTTTATTTATATTGATTAAAATTTTCAAAGATTTCTATATTATATTGTATAATAAATATCTTATTTATTTTATCAAGTGTTGTAATATTATTTAAACAAATTATTTGTTTAATATTATTTTTATTTTATATTTTTTAGTATTAGTTTCAAGTATAAATATAAATAATAATATAACTTTGAAAGATTTTTTTATATAATTTTGTTAAAAATATATAAAAAGTATATAAATTTTTAGAAAAATTAGTAAGGTTCAGTTTTGTATTGTTGACCCGGAAAACGGTGAATTAGTTGCTTCACTGGTCCAATGTTTGCATAACTAAGATAAGTCGAGGCGCGTAAGATTGATTTTCCAGGGCTTTTCATTATTAATAAGCTTTTCTCTTCTTTTTTGACACCAGCTCTTCTTTTGATAATTCCAGGCTATATCCTATAGTGGCGATTATTCTTTCTTGTATGGTGTGTATTTAAAAAGATAAGTTGTTAATTACAATATTTCTTATTTGGTATTTCAATTTTTATTATTATTCCTTTTTTTTTTTGATATCTATCTCTCAAACTAACTCGATCTGTTTCAACTCTCTATATACTATTGTTTGCTTTTTAATCATATGGCTATTTATATCATTGCTACTATTAGAAAAACAATTAAGGGAAAATAGACTATTGGGGTTAAAACAAACTATAGGTAAGTTATGTAAGCTCTATGACTATATTTTCTATGCTAATTACTAATGCTACTTCATATTTCCAAAGTACACGATGTAATAGTCACTATATGTGACTATACCCATAACTTTTATAGGACTAACAATATATAGTAATTAAAATAATATTAGCAATAGAGTAAAATTTAATAATCTAAAAACAATTTTATTGAATAATTTTGATCCATAAAATTGTTAATATTTTTACTAAAGAATAATATCTTATTTATAACTTTAAATTTTAATAGTAGTAATATTAATTAATATATTTTACTTGTTAATTTTAAGCTCTCAAAAGAATATTTTAAAAAAATTATAATATTATTTAGTAATTAATAAAGTTAATAATAACAAATATTGTATTAAATATCTTATACAATAGTAATTGATATGTTTAAATATTGTTTACAGTATAATATAAATAGTATAAATAATATTAAAACTTATTTAAATCTATTGTAAATAAATTTCAGATATTTTAATTATAGATAACAAAAATTTTTAACTTTTTTGCAAAGTTTAAAGTTATTTAATTTGTTTTTTATTTGAAAATATGAGAGAGGATTTGTATTGTTATATGGACTGATATTATAATGATTACAAATTTCTAAAATTTGGATTATTTGTGTTATCTTTACTACAGTTGTTTTATTCCTTTTTTAAAATATATATCTTAAAAATAGTTGTTATAGTAGAGATATAATGATTACTATAATTTTATTATAAGACTAACATATATATAAAGAAAAATCAAATCTTCAAATAAATATTTAGCTTTTATAAAAAACTTAAAAAAGTTTAAATAATTGTTTAATTGATTGTTAATTGATAAATCATTGATTTATTTTATAATAACAAAGAAAAAAACTTAACCCAAATTATTGTATTTCAGTCTTAAAATTTTTTTGTTATTAAAAAGAATTAAATAGCCTTTTACATAAATAAAAAACAATTGCTATTGTAAGAGGAACTGAAAAATTAGATAAATTCAACATATGTCATCCTCGCCCAATTGAGGTTTAATTGGGGCTTGAGGGATTTTTAGGATTTTAGGGATTTTTGGGATTTCTTAACATGTATATAAAGAGAGGAATATACTAGAGAAAAAGCAACAATAAAATACTGTCTTTTTACTATAAAACTTAGACTATTATCTAACACTTTCACTTACCTCATGCCACATCTCCATGCCTCTTTCGACGTTACACAATCGGCGATTGCGACATAGCGACAGACTTATCATTATAACCTCCAATACTATTAATGGTTTAGTTTCTAATTGTAAATTTTTTTTCAAAAAGGATTGATAAATTTAATATTATAATTAGAAAAAATTATCTTGAATAATTTGTGGTTTTTAAAAATAATGTCAAAGAATATTTTTGTAATTTTACAAGTAGTTATATTATATATATTGTTACACTTGACCTTCGCCCAAGATCATCACTATCCCTTGTCCAATTTTCACTAGCATTTACCCTTGGAATGTTACCCATTCTAGAATAATTCTTGTATTACTATTCTTGTTACTGTTTAGCACTGTACTTTTTGTGCTAATGTTGCTCTAGAATATTTCCTAATTTATTTATTTATCTTTATTCTTGTAT